AAAACTGTCAACGCGCGAACGGACTCGCCTGGACTGCATGAATGAAAAATCAAAACATTGTAGCGATGAACATTAGTTTTTTAAAAACTCATCGGGATTCTAGGATTTTACACAGCAGAACAGCTACAAAAACCTGGCAGATAATGTGAGGGAAAAGAATTTTTAAGTGAAAGCCGTCGAAATTACTGTGAATTTGGATTTTCGGTGCAGTTATAAAAGTAAAAACAACGGAGAAAAACTATTACCTCGGTCGCTTGTTATGAAGTTGTTTGAAGCCACAAGCTGGTTTTGCTGAACGAGAAAAGAAGCTATACTGCCGCCTCGATTGCTCTAGTGAATGGCTGCATAGCCTGTATTTGTAGCTGGTTACTTGTGATTTATATTCTTGATGTCGGATAAACAAGCCGCAGTTATCTATCGGCGAGTGACTCGACCGGCGAATGGCTTCGCGATCATGAAGAAACAACACTTGTCTTCTTTCGTAGCTGGTCAAGGTACTTTAGTTCCATGTGTTTTCATGTGTTTTTCGACAAACTTTAAACAAGCTCTTGTGGCTTTTTTGTTTTTTTTTGTCTTTTTTCTTTCGATGAAATTGCATTTCTAGTATTCTAAGAAATGAATTAAAACGATTTGCTTCGGGAGCCGTTCTATCCTCGACGAAAAGAAATCTCAGCTAGCTTCCAATTTTAAACTGACGCGTACACCGACCATATATGGAGAGCATGGTATAATAGCTCATATACCATAACGGCTAGGCCAATCAAAATGCTAGAATTGCATTATCCAATGATTCAGTTTTTAATAATATTCAATATGTTTCTATTGCACAGGCACTTTCGCAGCATTTGAAATTACACTTTTTGACGATAGACCTCTGTCTGTATCTCTTGCAAATGTCGTTGTAACGCTATAAAACTATGTTATTGTTATTGTTGTTTATTTGATTTGTGGGAACACCTGCGTGTCACTCAATATCTATTACGCAATAGATAGTGACTGCGTTATAAACTTTATAAACTCTTCTCGATACTTGTTGTGCGTATTAGAATAAGGCAAGAAAAAATATTGCTTTAAAACAACCAAGATACTGTGATCGCTCTGATTGACCGAGAGCTGTGTTCCATTACAGAATGCAAAACTGAAAAACGTCAAGATCTTTTGCAGTCCAAGCGCTAATTATGCAAACACGATTTTAAAGATAACGTTTTGAGCTTAAATCTCAATAAAATAACCTTCCTTTTTCACTTTATAAATCGTTAAAACTCGAAAAAATTTTTACAAACATTGTGTAACAAAGATATCTCCGCAAAAAAGAACTATTGAATTAGACCTACCAAACGTCTTGTACAACGCTTCTCAGCTAATAAGAATTTCTTTCTTAATCAGCACCCATTAAAGAGTGTTTCGCTTCTTCCTGACAGAACAAAAAAATTTAATCGCGAAATAAAACTTAAGTCGAATGTGAGACGGTATTACGGCTTTACAGCGATGACGCTGGGCAAAAATATATACCTGTATTGACGGATTTGAAGAAAACGGCATTATATTTTTTCCCAATTTTGCTCCGTTGTGCAACAATAATGTCGTCTTGAATTCGAATTTAAGAGAGCAAGCGTTGTTTTAGAGAGACAATAGAAAACTTTCTTAGTGGTAATCACTTAGCTGGACATATTTGAGATAGACTGACGTAGCACCGCTTCTCAAAATCGAAGTTAAATACTCATAGTACTTACCTGCCACGAAGCAAAAGGCGCAAAAGACCAACAACGAGACAAACAGATATTTCATCTTGTGCGGTAAGTAAAAAACCGTCCGTGCCGCAGCTTATACTTAACGGAACTGACTGCGTTCTCAGGACAACACTAAAACGCAGATATGTTGAATGAAAGAGGGTGACAGCAATGTGCTTTGCGTCAGCGAGCAACATTCAATAGCGCGAAAAGCTTATAAATGTATTCACTGATTCAAATCATACATTCACGAATGACAAAGAACCGTCCTAGTTTGGCTCCTTTTCTGCTAAGTTGAGTCAGCGCGACCATTTTCCGCACAACCAGTTCACATGGAAAGTCTGTCACTAAGACCTGGTCCACACGAATCAGGATATATTTTAAACCCCATAGACTTTGACACGAATAGTAATATATTCTCGCCAGGAACACCCACGCACAAAGCCAAATGGGCCTAAATGCATAAGATATGGGAGAATCGGCCCCCGGCCACTACTCCACGATGACCATGATTCACGGCACCCTTCACTTACGAAGGAAGAAAGGAGGGGTAGTGTTGAGAAAATAGGGAACCTCCTCCCAAAACTCAGAACTCAAACGCCGACTGAAGGAAAAGAAGAGCTCCAAACAGTATGCCATACAAACTGACCAAACCATTAAATGTGTACTCGAACTTTATCGAACAAACAAGTAATAGGAACATATGCATTTGTAGTAATGCCGCAACATATCAACCATTCATTAGAATTCGAAGCTCTTAAGACAAACACAAGCCGCAAAAAAATACACAAGAGCAAAAAAAAAAGAACCGGGAAAGATACCGATGGAGTCGAGATCCCCAGTGGAAAAAACACTTATGATCTTGCCAGTGCTCAAATCCAGCGCCAGATAATTAGAAAAACTGCCTATCCTAACGAGGGAGGTGGTTGGGAATCTCTTCGGCCGTAAAAACGTTATGGGCCCTAAATATCAAGTAACAGGCGGACGACGATACCATAACAGGGTAGCGGGGCCACCACACTCAGACGTTCACCTCTCCAAGTGACCCAATAAAGGCACTTGGATATGGGGAGTACAGTGCTGCTGGTGGGAACTGAGACACTGTTCTACGCACGTAAAGGAACTACATAATGAAACAAAGGGAAAGAAACACTAGCATAAACAAACAGAACATATTCCAGTAACTGAGAAAAATCAATTGAAACTAAGGTGAACGCCCAAGCGAAGCAAGCCCGAAATACTCCGTCCAGACACAGAGCAATGGAGGGTATTAGTCAGCAACGGGCGTGGGAGGTAAGGATCACGAGAGATGTAAAAAACAGAGACGAGTTTACGCTGATTCAAATGCTACTAAGAAATATCTCTAAATATCTTTTGTTACGAATATTGTTTATTTTTTTTATTTATTTTATTAGCTTTGCCCTGAAGAATACAAAAAAAAATTGCACACAACTACGATTAGAATTCGGACTGAAAAGAGAAATCCAAGCGAGGACATCCCAGTCGATTAACCGGACTCAAAATAAACAGCGAGACCATCCCGTCGCCTGGAACAGACCAAACCTATAATTAAAGCTAGTACGCCTGGTAGCTTGTGGAACGGACTAAAAATAAAGCGAAAACACCGTAGGCTCTTAGAACAGACCAAAAACAAAATTATAGCAAGAACACCCTCTCGATCCGAAGGGACTAAAAATAAAATTTAAGCGAGGACACCCTAGTCGCTTGGAACTGACTGAAAAATAGAATAGAATTGAAGGGAGATGACCCCACTCGCCTCGCACAAAATGAAAACAAAATTCAAGCGAGGACACCCCAGTCGCTTCTGACAAACTTCAACCAAAATTCAGCGAGGACATCCCAGTCGCTTGTTCTCACAAACTCAAAACAAAATTCGAGCGAGGACACCCGAGTCGCTTTTCAGAAACTCAAAACAAATTTGAGCGAGGACACCCAAGTCGCTTCTCACAAACTTCAAACAAATTAATGCGACCCTAGCCGCTTCCGGCAAACTCAAAACAATGCTCAAGCGAGGACACCCCAGTCGCTCAGTTCTGTAAACTCAAAACAAAATTCCAGCAAGGACACCCCAGTTGCTTTGAACTGAAAACGCAAAACAAAATTCAATCGAAGACATCCCAGTTGGGCCTCGTACAAGTCAAAACGAAATTAAAGGAAGGACACCTCAGCCGTTTGGTTTACCCCAGTTGAGCGGCCTGTTGGACGGCAGGCTGAGTGTAATAGAACGGCGTGGTCAGTGGCCTGTTATGATGGACGGCAGGTTGAGCGTCCGGTCAAACAGCCAGCTGAACGGCGAGTTGAGCGACCAGCTGCTGGCATATGACTGTTCTGCTTTTTATTCACTCTTGTAGCTGTGGAGGGCTCAAAACTGCATGGACATATTTTGTCAAAGGAGTGGCTGGAATTGGAGTAATACCGGGCACAGCGATAGAAGCGAAACACGAGAACTGCTATAGAGCGTTTTCACTCGCGTGGCCAGCATCTATGCCAATTTACTGGAACAAAAGAAAGCATTTACATGAGAGAAGAGTTCAACTCCCAGAGGATTTTCTTGGTACACCAACATGGCTGCCGTTTCACTGTTTTGGAACACCAAATGGCCGCCGTGACGTCATTTGAAAACGCTCCATAATAAAGTGTTTTCACATGACGTCACGGCGGCCATATTGGTGTCCCAAGACAATGAAACGGCGGCCATGGTGGTGTCCCAAACCAATCTTGTGGGAGTTGAACTGAGTTTTTGTGATTGTTGAAGGGTCTGATTCCAGTAAGAGACGTATTTATTTTTCATTATGCCGATGTACCGATTAACTATCGAGTCACTCAATGAATTACAGGAAAAGTCATAGTTTAGATCGTAGTTGTCAACCATCTTCATGAGATGAGAGTAAAAGCTAGTTTTTCCGTTATGATGAAGGTCAATTAAAATTTGTAAGGCCTGTTTAACTATAGAATCTTCATCTTTACCTGTCAGATAGCCTAAGTAATTTAGAATCTTTTTATTTATATCAATGATCATGGGAATTTACCGAGTTCAGCTCTACAAGCAATGTTGGATGCCTTGTTATGTACTTGTAAATAACCTTTACAGAATTGTAAACGGGTTTTTTCAATTGCAGAGCTGTCCCAGGACTTAAAATCTGATTTAACAAAAGCACCCCAAAAGGTAATCGAGGAAAGTTTTATATTTCATTGGCTTGTTATCGCCTTTCACTTCATATGATATTGTTTCTTAAATCAAAGCAAGAACTCGCTCTCGGTAATTTAATGAAGCACAATTAAATGCGACGTTTAAATCAACTGGAACACTTTTTTAATTCAAGTCGATTAAAATTACAATTATATTCGGTGCACGTAAAATTTGACTGTTAAACCGGCCCTTAGCCAATTAAACTTCGTGAGCTACTAAAATTGTATTGTCTCGAATTCAGTACTGTAGCAGCTCTTCCTAAGATCTTCTCTTATTGGCTGAAAAAAAAAACAACAACAAAAGTTGTCTTTGTTTAATAATTATTCGTTATCATTTTATGGTGAGGGTAGCGAACCAATTGGGTTACACCTTATCTCTAAAACAAGCACACTCAGTCACCCCTCATATTTTTTTCCATCTTAGCAAGAGGTTCTCTACAGCTGCTTAACTTGTTTTCTCAACTGCAACGATCATTTATATTAAATTGTTTCATTTCCGTCGTCCAAATATATGACATTTCAGATACAAACTGAATGCTGTAGTGTCAGGGGGTATAGCCACGTTTGCCGTCCTATGGAATGACGTCACACAAGAATCGTTCGCGGTTTCTCGGGAGGTTGTCCTCGGTTGACATACATGTTACCATAATCTAAGGTAGACGCCTTCAGTTCCTTTACTAAGAAAGTACAAGGGTAATTCACCAGATTTCCTTTTATATTCTTTAATAATCTTCTTGCCGTGTGCGAATCTGGACGAGGCAAAGGAATATTCTTGTAACGTTTTAAGACTTCGAGATCCTTGATACCTTCTCGTGGAAAAAGCCCCGGACCAAATACAGTTAGAAAGGTTACAGTATTGATCTCTGCACGTGCTCTAACTCCCTTAATAAAGCTGTTGGCCAATGGATCCCGTATTGCTATTTCAAATTCATCCTCGTTGTCATCTAATAATCCTAAATGTTCCTTGAACAAGTCACACCTCAAGCTGTGGGCAAACGTACCCACCTTGAAGTCCACACCATTCATCTTGCCATCTAACATGTCTAAATCTTCTATAATAACTGCAACTTCTGAATCTCGCTCTCCTTGCATACTCCGATCATTTATATTTGCAGATCCAATGATAGCCACTCGATCATCGACAATCATGATCTTGCTATGAACATAAACTATCTCTGTGACGAAATTTCCCTCTATTAGATCATATTTTCGTAGACTATACACAGAGAAATAGTTCTTTGCAATGTCTTTGGGAATGTTTTCCTTCTCAAGCTTTTTAAATAAGGAGTCCTCTCCATGGTAGATAGTGGCTTGGTTCCAGAAAGTCACAGCCCGCAAAGCATCGCCGTTGAAATCACTGGAGTCCCAGTCACCAGGAAATTCTGGCTTCAGCGGGGTCATAACCATGACGTGAAAATTCTCGCGAGCCTTGTGTGCTCGGACAATTCTCTCGACCAGTGCCGACTGGATCTGATTTTGCACTTTCCGCCAGAATCCTTCTTGCGAGGAAATAAAGAACTGATTTTCGATATAAATGAAGTGCCTGGCATTTCTTATCGCATCTAGGTAAGCGTTATGAATGGAGGCTTCGCGTTCTTGACCAGCCGACCATTTGTCAACGGATCGAAGGAATTGAATGTTGACATTGTGCTCACCGGAAGTGAAGACAATTTCTTCCGCTTTAGATTTGCCGGGTGGGAAAATGTTGGGCAAAGGTTTAACTACTGACTGAAAATTTACTCGAAACGAGCTCCAAAATGCCTGCCACCAAGGCACAAGACCCTTGTATCTGTCAATGAAATGTCGGACAGCATCTTGTACGGCTTCTCCCTTAAAAGCGCAGCTGACATCATGCCACGGCATTCGAGGGATCTCATTTCTCTCGACACCTTCGTAGTCCTCGAAAGGTTTGTCCCAGGTCGTTTGGCTTTCCTTGTTGTAAAAGGTGTTCCTGTAATCTTTGCCAATCCATCGAGCATATTTTCGTTCAATGGATCCCTCAAGTTTGGACTCAGAAGCATGGCTCTCATCCACAGCAGGATGAATATTAAAATTATCCATCAATTCATGATAGCGAGTGTCCCAGCGCCCATAGCAAAGATCTACACCGCCAACAAATGCAATAGCTCGGTCAACTATCACCATCTTCTCGTGATGACTCCACCGAAATAAAGTCCCCGGGTGTTGTATTCCACTGAGGGCATCGGGATGCCGTCGTATCTCGATATTTCTATGCTTTCCAAGCAGCCTAACAGCATGATCACTTCCGAGATCCAAAAATGGCTTAGTTTCCCAGTATAACAGGATACAAACTTGAACACCTTGATTGGCTTTTCTCAAAAGTATCTTGTCAAGACGCCATTCCAAGCTATCCACTCCTGAACCTGGTCTTTTCATGAAAATCTCAGGGTTAATTTGCCATGCTGTTATCAATATTTCCTTCTCGGCAGCCTCAATAGCGTCGGCCACAACAGACATATAATCTTTACCGTCTATAAACCACATGGCTTCGCAATTATTACGAACCGGTACGAATGAGCCATGTCTATAGCGTTGCGATTTTTCGAGTGAATGCCAAAAAATGTAGGCTACCCCCACAGTTAGTACGGCGAAGCAAAGTGCGCGTAACATTTCAGAAGAAAATGCCTTTTGATATCAAGCTTTCAGACAATTCACGGCAGAATGACTTCGTAAACAAGCACTGAAATTATAATGCTTGTAGCTCTGCGCAATGACAGGATCATGAATATTTTACACCCCAGCTGTGTATCATTTACGTTTTCTTTCAAAACTGTATGTACCCCTTCCTCGAAATCGAACAACTGAGAGATGCAAGTAAAATGTAGAAGCTTGAAATATAATGGCCTGTTTTTTGCTTCTCTCTGCCCCAATACGCGCAGACTATTTTATAGCCAACGTACAGCTGTTCCTTCCTCCAGTTTTCCCTTCTGGGGGAGGGTACGGCTCAATTTTGCCACGCGTGAAGGAAGCGACCAATTTGTTTGTAAATCTGCTTGCAATTGATATTTAGCAATAGGAATTGACTTAAACTTTTCCTTAAAACGTTTGATAGAGAGAAGTTTGATGTCATCACTCATTACATCATTCCAAACTTTAGCACCCTGGAACCTTATGTTGAAAATTTCATAATTTGCTCTGGCTTTTGGGATAGCATAGGTCATCCTGAAGGACAACCTAGTGTTATATCTATGTATGTTACTAACAGGATTAAAGAAGGTATCAAAGACTTACGGTAAAAGTTGATAATGGAACTTATACGCCCGAAAAAAAAATTCGGGACTTCAACGGCATCGCACCGTAATCGCGAGGTCACGCAATTGCATAAATTGCGTTCACTGCGACTATCGTTTCTTCATTTTCATTTGATTTCCGCAGTTCATATATGATTTATTTCATATACAGCTATTTCGAGAAAGGTTGTCGCAAAAACTTTGCATGCGACAATCCCGAAAGGTAATATGGGATATGATCAATACACTTGTTCCTGACACTGTAGCTGTCGAACCTACCTTTGTTGCTTTCCTTTAGCACTCGCAAACATACGTCCCTGGCCTCTCCTGTCCTTCTTTGAAATTTCTTTGAAAAACAGTAAACTAAAAGACACCCACAATACCTTTCGGGATTGTCGCGTGCACTTTTTCCGACAACCTTTCTCGAAACAGCTGTATCATTAACAATCATTTCTTTCACGGGAACATATGAACCCACAATTGACCTGCTCCCAACGTCAGTGGCTTCAGTTGGTAGAGCATCGCAACGGCATCGCGATGTCACGGGTTCAAACCCCGTTGAAGTCCTGAATTTTTTTCAGGCTTCTGTATGCAATTCCATAAATTGCGTTCACTGCGACGATCATTTCTTTATTTTCATTTATGATCATAATGTTGTTCAAGAGAAACACAACTTTCGCTCTCCGCAGACTGTTTGCAAAGAACTTGCACACCCCAAGACTTAGCATTTTTTCTAACTTCCCCGCTTCTATTTCGCTAAGATTATTCCCCAGATTATTTCTTATCAAAGACTATTCCATGCGATGTTAAAATTGCACAGATAACGCTAAATGACAGCTTATTATCTTTGCTAGGTTTATAATTTTACTTACTTTACGCCCTTACTAAGGACTCTGATGGCTGTTCCATTCGTATTTCATTTCATTTTAAAAAGTAAAATCACTAGCGTTACGTTGCAGATTTGATACCCTGAGAATCCTACTTTTCAGACTATTCATTTTCGATTCTGCGTTTTAGCACCGAAAAAAAGCCAGCGCTCGAACGGTCACTATTTGAGTGCAATCTCCTTTGCCCTATTTCTCGTTTATTTTGATTGGCTGTTATTTTCATCTTAACAAGACCATTTTCTTGTATTAGATTGATGTTCATGAACAGGCAATTCCAGACGATTCTAAATTCCATTAATTACGCTAAACGACTTCGTGTTCGACTAATTCTTTTTGTCAAGTTTATAGACTCTTTTTTCCGGTGCTTTTTAGTATAGTAGCCTGCGTCGCAGACAATGGTTTAGACGATGCGTGAGCCGGCTGCAGAGCAGGCTACTCCTACCAGTCCCTTGACGGGTAAGAGAGAGAACCTGGGAACGAGGCTGCTATCTTAAATACAGTATTCACGGTAAAGAACTGGGCTCAATCTTGTTATGTCACTGAAAAAAAAATATCCGGATTTAGCGTCCACACGATTCCAGATTCATAGCGTATTAAAAAATTTCCACTCTGGAGTGCGGATTAAAAAGATTGCAAATTCTTCTGCCGGATTCTCCGGATACGTGTGGACGGAAGGCGTATCCGCAAAGAAAAAGTTGCGGATTCAAAAATATCGGGATACGTGTGGACGGGGACTGAGGCATCGTCCGCATGAATCCGGATATTTGTGAAAGTACATATTTTTTACACGAATCGTCTCCATCCACACGAAACCAGTGAATCCGCTCTGCAGAGTGGTTTTTTAAGCCCCGTGTACACGGATCCGGATTTAAAAATGTGCGGTTTCAAAACTGATTTTAAAATTAACCGAAGATCGATGTACGAAAAAATGCATAGTCTCAAAAAAACCGATGACTTTTGTGTAAAACAAATTTTTATTCACAGAATACTAATCATAATCGGCTGGAGAAGGTATAAAGGAATGACTTTTTATGCTGAAAAAAAAATCGAAACAAGTTTATCGAATAGGATGCTTTATTTGAGGGCAGATATTTTAGACATTAAGTTTATCGTCGGCAGTGAAGATTTAAAAACGCAGCTTCGGGTACTAGGGTCGGTGATTTCGACTAATTACTGTTTACTGAGTATTGTTTGAATGAATAGAATTCAGTGCTAAAATTAACAATTGAAAGATTCGACTACCAACAAGGTAACAACACAGCTGCAGTTTTTTAAGGCGAAATTCTGACCTCCTTTGTAAATCCAAAACAATGCGCTAAAATCACACGGTTTCCTTACTGTTATTTACTGGGTAAGCAAAGGAACAGTAAGCGTGAACTGCTTGTTTTGTACCAGGGCGTTATAGCCGGCGTTGAATCAAGAGAGGTCGAGCGAACGAGTCCGAGCACCACTAAACAGACAAAACAAGATGGTGGACAGCACAATGGATCGCCAGAGAGATTATAATCCAACAGCCCAAACAGGGTCCTCCGAAGTTAAAGTGACGGGGATGATCGAAAGAGGGCAAAAATCAAAACCCAAAAAATATCCCTGAAACAAATAATAAACACAAAAAAACATCTTGCCCAAACTCTATACCCGGGATGCAAACCTAATAAATTAGACTTGTAAAAGTTTTAAGGGTGTTGTAAGAGTTTTAAGAGTGTTGTAAGAGTTTTCTTAAATAAACCCTGCTTGCTTTGAGGTTCCAGTCTTCAAGCGTCAATATATTTAGTACTAAAGTGCCAATTAAGGACACTATTAGTACCTAAGCTATTGGGAGAAACGATCTTCATTTCTCTGTAGTCATCCGGGTCACCTGAAGGTCTACCCAAAGAAACTAAGCCGAGTGCCTTCTTATTTAAGTTATTTTAACACCCTAAGGTTTGATCCAACTCCCGGGATCGAGCTCGCGATATCCCGCTTCGCAGACCAGCGATCTGGCCACCTAAGCTAGCCCTGGCTTGGTTGCTGGCCATGTGTAGAGAGCGGCAAGGAGACTCTTTACTTGTCAGAAATGCAAAGGAAGGCTGCCAAGAAAGTCGTTCGTCAATCACGGTCTGAATAACGCAGTGCGAGCAAATTCATGTTGTAGAGAGAATACTAATAGCCAAAGAACAATAGGATACATAAAAAAATTATCTTTAATAAAAATTATACGACAGTTACAGCACTTGCATGGTCACAAGATCAACTTAAACGGGCTGGACTAGGAGCGAACTAAATTGACAATAATAAGATATAGTTACAGCAGTTACTTGATCAACTAAAACTGACTTGTAGCGAACTTAACTAAGACAAAAACTTCATCAATGCTATCTGTTTTATCAAACAGAAAATATACGATTTAAGAAAAAAAAAGCCACGAGGGCGCAGGCCAAAAACAGGAAGCCGCTGACTACTGGTACTTTGGCTCCATTGCACAGGTCACTTTGGCAGCAACTGACGTCACACTTTTTGATCGTAGCTGATGATGGTAACACTATTTTACAAACTTTGTCTGTGCATCTCGATTTCAAGGCGCATCCTTTGTAAAAATATTTACGAGTTACACCCTGGAATTCTGCTTGACCTTCAAATTTAACACAGGAATCCAGGCCGGCTGAACACTCTGTATTGCTTCCAGGAACACAGTGATCCCAACTCTTCGCTGAGTCACACTGGTAGCACTTGATCCCACGTCCTATAAAAACAGCAGGAAACACTAGTTAAACTTTATCTGCGTAGTGACATCTCGTTTTATAGGCATTTAAAGAGATGTTTTACTGTATCTCCACTGCACAGCTAACGCTTAATCTATTGTTTGAGCGGGGGGATCGGGAGATGAGTTACATAACACATTAAGGTGAAAAAAAACCGATTTACTGCTAGCACGTCACAGGCGTATTTTGAAGCGAGAACGATGATGCTATCGCGACAAATGCTCTTCTGCCATCTTGGACGTTAAGACTAACAGAAAGTTGGGGGGAGTCGCATCATCGTTCACGCTGCAAAATACGCCTGCTTTGCAGGTTAGTACGTCACTGTCAATCTGGTTCTCTTTGAACCTTTCCAGACCGAATTGGAGTTTCAAAATGTTGAGAAAACTGGAGAAAGCGAAGAAAAAACTATCGGAGCAAGGGCGAGGACTAACATCGATCTCAACTCATAAGTGATGTCGTTTTCGAGATTCAGTCACGTGCCACCGCGAAAAATATTTGATTAGCTTGTGTTTTGTGGCGTGGTTCTATTGTTCATTAGGGACTTTTAGCATCCGCGACGGCAGCGAAAACGTCACTTTTAAAATGAATTGGCTTTTTTTCAAACTTTGTCGCGTTTACTCCAATTTGCTGAAAATGTCTAATGCAGGCAAATTTCCTTGAAGTTGATTTCTTGGGGGCCTGTTAGTGTCTGCGGAGCAGGCTACAATATAAGTTAAGTTTGAAATCGATGCAACATAAACAAAAAGATCTTTCAGGAGAGAGGTAAGTGATAAAGTCTTGAATATTGTCCACGCCTAACTGTTCTTAGCACAACTATAGTTAGTAGAGGAGACAGGTTAGGAAAGCCGGCAAACATCAAAGTTGAAAACAATGGTGCTGTAGGTTACGTTGGAAGCTCCCAGACCGTGAACAATCCTTTAGTTTTTGTTCACAAATTGTGACTGAATAAATTAAAGCAATATTTCTCTTGCTCAGTAAGTTCAAAATGACAGGAAGCCTATTGAACGTTGGCGACGATCAGGTCCAAAAAAGCTTACAAAAATCCCAACCATTCCACTTTAAAAAACTACGGCAAAACCAAAACAGCAGTTGTATCGACTCAAGGGGCTTGGTGCAATGAGCCTCTTAAAGGTGACAACCATTAAAAGTTCGCAAAAAGTTTATAAAAGAATTTGTAATCGGAAACCTATTTCAACAACGTCGGTTTATTCTCTTTGAGTTGTAAAGTGACTTGACCGCAACACTTTGTTTCGCACGACCAGTTTACTTAATAGCATTCCCATTAATGCCATTTAAGAAAGCAAGGGCTAATGTCAGGAGAAAAGCATTGCCTACTTTAAACAAAAAAAATCAGAATTTTTTTTAACCTTAGTCACAACACTTTCCAATATTACAATACACCTACGGAACATGCAACCAGATTACAAAAAAAAAAAAGAAAAGACTCGGAAAACAAATACTTACAAGCATTCGAGGGATCTCATTTCTCTCGACACCTTCGTAGTCCTCGAAAGGTTTGTCCCAGGTCGTTTGGCTTTCCTTGTTGTAAAAGGTGTTCCTGTAATCTTTGCCAATCCATCGAGCATATTTTCGTTCAATGGATCCCTCAAGTTTGGACTCAGAAGCATGGCTCTCATCCACAGCAGGATGAATATTAAAATTATCCATCAATTCATGATAGCGAGTGTCCCAGCGCCCATAGCAAAGATCTACACCGCCAACAAATGCAATAGCTCGGTCAACTATCACCATCTTCTCGTGATGACTCCACCGAAATAAAGTCCCCGGGTGTTGTATTCCACTGAGGGCATCGGGATGCCGTCGTATCTCGATATTTCTATGCTTTCCAAGCAGCCTAACAGCATGATCACTTCCGAGATCCAAAAATGGCTTAGTTTCCCAGTATAACAGGATACAAACTTGAACACCTTGATTGGCTTTTCTCAAAAGTATCTTGTCAAGACGCCATTCCAAGCTATCCACTCCTGAACCTGGTCTTTTCATGAAAATCTCAGGGTTAATTTGCCAGTCTGTTATCAATATTTCCTTCTCGGCAGCCTCAATAGCGTCGGCCACAACAGACATATAATCTTTACCGTCTATAAACCACATGGCTTCGCAATTATTACGAACCGGTACGAATGAGCCATGTCTATAGCGTTGCGATTTTTCGAGTGAATGCCAAAAAATGTAGGCTACCCCCACAGTTAGTACGGCGAAGCAAAGTGCGCGTAACATTTCAGAAGAAAATGCCTTTTGATATCAAGCTTTCAGACAATTCACGGCAGAATGACTTCGTAAACAAGCACTGAAATTATAATGCTTGTAGCTCTGCGCAATGACAGGATCATGAATATTTTACACCCCAGCTGTGTATCATTTACGTTTTCTTTCAAAACTGTATGTACCCCTTCCTCGAAATCGAACAACTGAGAGATGCAAGTAAAATGTAGAAGCTTGAAATATAATGGCCTGTTTTTTGCTTCTCTCTGCCCCAATACGCGCAGACTATTTTATAGCCAACGTACAGCTGTTCCTTCCTCCAGTTTTCCCTTCTGGGGGAGGGTACGGCTCAATTTTGCCACGCGTGAAGGAAGCGACCAATTTGTTTGTAAATCTGCTTGCAATTGATATTTAGCAATAGGAATTGACTTAAACTTTTCCTTAAAACGTTTGATAGAGAGAAGTTTGATGTCATCACTCATTACATCATTCCAAACTTTAGCACCCTGGAACCTTATGTTGAAAATTTCATAATTTGCTCTGGCTTTTGGGATAGCATAGGTCATCCTGAAGGACAACCTAGTGTTATATCTATGTATGTTACTAACAGGATTAAAGAAGGTATCAAAGACTTACGGTAAAAGTTGATAATGGAACTTATACGCCCGAAAAAAAAATTCGGGACTTCAACGGCATCGCACCGTAATCGCGAGGTCACGCAATTGCATAAATTGCGTTCACTGCGACTATCGTTTCTTCATTTTCATTTGATTTCCGCAGTTCATATATGATTTATTTCATATACAGCTATTTCGAGAAAGGTTGTCGCAAAAACTTTGCATGCGACAATCCCGAAAGGTAATATGGGATATGATCAATACACTTGTTCCTGACACTGTAGCTGTCGAACCTACCTTTGTTGCTTTCCTTTAGCACTCGCAAACATACGTCCCTGGCCTCTCCTGTCCTTCTTTGAAATTTCTTTGAAAAACAGTAAACTAAAAGACACCCACAATACCTTTCGGGATTGTCGCGTGCACTTTTTCCGACAACCTTTCTCGAAACAGCTGTATCATTAACAATCATTTCTTTCACGGGAACATATGAACCCACAATTGACCTGCTCCCAACGTCAGTGGCTTCAGTTGGTAGAGCATCGCAACGGCATCGCGATGTCACGGGTTCAAACCCCGTTGAAGTCCTGAATTTTTTTCAGGCTTCTGTATGCAATTCCATAAATTGCGTTCACTGCGACGATCATTTCTTTATTTTCATTTATGATCATAATGTTGTTCAAGAGAAACACAACTTTCGCTCTCCGCAGACTGTTTGCAAAGAACTTGCACACCCCAAGACTTAGCATTTTTTCTAACTTCCCCGCTTCTATTTCGCTAAGATTATTCCCCAGATTATTTCTTATCAAAGACTATTCCATGCGATGTTAAAATTGCACAGATAACGCTAAATGACAGCTTATTATCTTTGCTAGGTTTATAATTTTACTTACTTTACGCCCTTACTAAGGACTCTGATGGCTGTTCCATTCGTATTTCATTTCATTTTAAAAAGTAAAATCACTAGCGTTACGTTGCAGATTTGATACCCTGAGAATCCTACTTTTCAGACTATTCATTTTCGATTCTGCGTTTTAGCACCGAAAAAAAGCCAGCGCTCGAACGGTCACTATTTGAGTGCAATCTCCTTTGCCCTATTTCTCGTTTATTTTGATTGGCTGTTATTTTCATCTTAACAAGACCATTTTCTTGTATTAGATTGATGTTCATGAACAGGCAATTCCAGACGATTCTAAATTCCATTAATTACGCTAAACGACTTCGTGTTCGACTAATTCTTTTTGTCAAGTTTATAGACTCTTTTTTCCGGTGCTTTTTAGTATAGTAGCCTGCGTCGCAGACAATGGTTTAGACGATGCGTGAGCCGGCTGCAGAGCAGGCTACTCCTACCAGTCCCTTGACGGGTAAGAGAGAGAACCTGGGAACGAGGCTGCTATCTTAAATACAGTATTCACGGTAAAGAACTGGGCTCAATCTTGTTATGTCACTGAAAAAAAAATATCCGGATTTAGCGTCCACACGATTCCAGATTCATAGCGTATTAAAAAATTTCCACTCTGGAGTGCGGATTAAAAAGATTGCAAATTCTTCTGCCGGATTCTCCGGATACGTGTGGACGGAAGGCGTATCCGCAAAGAAAAAGTTGCGGATTCAAAAATATCGGGATACGTGTGGACGGGGACTGAGGCATCGTCCGCATGAATCCGGATATTTGTGAAAGTACATATTTTTTACACGAATCGTCTCCATCCACACGAAACCAGTGAATCCGCTCTGCAGAGTGGTTTTTTAAGCCCCGTGTACACGGATCCGGATTTAAAAATGTGCGGTTTCAAAACTGATTTTAAAATTAACCGAAGATCGATGTACGAAAAAATGCATAGTCTCAAAAAAACCGATGACTTTTGTGTAAAACAAATTTTTATTCACAGAATACTAATCATAATCGGCTGGAGAAGGTATAAAGGAATGACTTTTTATGCTGAAAAAAAAATCGAAACAAGTTTATCGAATAGGATGCTTTATTTGAGGGCAGATATTTTAGACATTAAGTTTATCGTCGGCAGTGAAGATTTAAAAACGCAGCTTCGGGTACTAGGGTCGGTGATTTCGACTAATTACTGTTTACTGAGTATTGTTTGAATGAATAGAATTCAGTGCTAAAATTAACAATTGAAAGATTCG